TCTGGCGTATGCGATTTCTCCTGATCCCCTCTGGCAGGCACTATCCGTAGCCTATCCAATAGCTCTTTCCCACATCTTTCTTGATTAAAACAACAATAAACAAAAACGCTAAATATGTAAATAAAAGTCCTATTTGCTCCGGAAGTGTAAACCGAGAGCTCAGCGGCACGCTCTCAAGTAAACCAGGGCGCTTCGTTTTCTCTCTGTCCCTAAAAAGGGACGTGCGATGAAGTTGCCCAGGAATTTCTGCAAAGAACCTCCATTTTTCTTTCTACTTAGGGAGACTTAAAACGAAGAGAAAGCCCCTTTGCTGGCTTTCTTTCCTTCGCCTTGCTCCCTGAAGCGATATTTTGAGCGCTATCGCCATCTTGTGGCCACAACAGGAAATCAATTAGACGAGCCAGCCACCCCCACCAGGCTTCTAGACATCTTAAATGGCACATTATGGGTGGGGCCGAACCACCTTTAACTGCACATCTTGTTACTTCCAACCCAAACAGTCCCGAAATGACGTCTTCTCAATTTTTTTTTATTTGAGGTTGACATTAAAAAAAATCACACAGCTAAGGTTTGAGGTGATATACTTACTTGCCTTGTAAAAACTAAGACAAAGAATCAACTCATTCTGCAAGAACATTTCTTTGGGGGATTTTTCCTGACAATCCCATAGATGTAAATAATGTGTTTGATCTCATTGTTTTCTCTTGTCCCTCCCCTCCCTCAATGAAGGCCTTCTTCTTAACTAGGGTCCCTTGGCTTTGATGTGTATCCCACCGAGTTTAACTAGGGTTGCTTGAATGAGCATAGAGTACAGGCGATTTACCAGTGGGTACTCCACAGAAGAAAACATTTCTCTTTGGCCGTAAACTACAAATAGCTCTTCAAGGAGGGATGGGTCAGATAAGCCCCTCCCCTCCCCGTGTTGGAATGTTTACAGACCTAATTTTGCGCGCAGGTCTTTTGCAGGGTATTGATGACGGGAGTTCGTGAATACAATGGCTTTGTGGAATCCAGAAGACTGGCTTATATTCTTCCCATGTTTTGATGTTCTCTGAGCCTTAGAAGTGACAGAGTCTTGTTTAGGGCTATTTATTACTCAACAGACACAGACTCCCAGCATTTTGATCAGTTATGAGTCTCGGAAGTCACTTTCGCCCACTGCAAGAATAAGTTTCTCTCACCAAGGACACCATAGCACTGTCCTAGGACATAAATGTAAATATTAAAAGGCAGACAGATGGGGACAACAGGTCCATTTAGCAAATCAACTGTGATAACTACGCTGCCCTGCTAAGGGCTAATGTCCCCAGCCTGGATCTATTGATCAGTTTTATACCAGGCATGAAATCCTTCCAAAATACAAGCAAACAGCCACACCACTATTATAATATCGGGCACATTGTGCCTGGAAAGTTGTAGCATGCAGGCTCTACAGCTAGGTAAGACTGTTTACGATTTTTCTCCCCCAAACAAATAATTCAATTAAAAAAAAAATGAGTACAGACCTAAACAGAGAACTCTCAACAGAGGAATCTAAAATGGTTGAAAGACACTTAAGGAAATGCTCAACATCCTTAGCCATCAGAGAAATGCAAATCAAAACAACTCTGAGATTCCGTCTTATGCCTGTAAGAATGGCCAAGATCAAAATCACTGATGACAACTTATGCTGGAGAGGATGTGGGGAAAAGGGAACACTTCTCCATTGCTGGTGGGAGTGCAAACTGGTACAGCTGCTTTGGATGTCAGTGTGGAGATTTCTCAGGAAATTAGGAAACAACCTTCCTCAAGACCCAGTAATACCACTTTTGGGTATATATCCAAAGGATGCTCAATCGTGCCACAAGGACATGTGCTCAACTATGTTCATAGCAGCTTTGTTTGTCATAGCCAGAACCTGGAAACAATCTAAATGCCCCTCAACTGAAGAATGAAAAAGGAAAATGTGGTACATTTACACAATGGAGTACTACACAGCAAAAAAAAATGACATCTTGAAGTGGATAGATCTAGAAAACATCATATTGAGTGAGGTAACCCAGACCCAGAAAGACAAATATAATATGTACTCACTCATAAGTGGCTTTTAGACATAAAGCAAAGAAAAACCAGCCTACAATTCACAACCTCAGAGAACCTAGACAACAGAGAAGACCCTAAGAGTGGCACACGTGGTTCTAATGTACTTGGGAAGTAGAAAAAGACAAGATCTCCTGACTAAATTGGGAGCCTGGGGGTCATCGGAGAGGGTAGAAGGGGAGGGGAGAAGAAGGGAAGGGATCAAAGAATAATATATAGCTCAATAAAAACAATTTTCTTTTAAAAAAAAAAAGAGTTTTTCTTCCCCAATGTTATGATATACAATGGGCGAGGAAACATCCAGTCACCAAGCTGAATGGATTTTGGATGAAGGCGATGAAAGCGTGGGGAAGGTGAGGAACAGAATGGCAGAGGACATGAAGCTTTTACGGAAGAGGAGTCTCAGGATGAGAGTGGCGAGGAGGAAGAGGAATGTAAAACCATGACGCTAGGAGAGTCTCTGCGTGATGGTCTAGCAGATGAGGAGGCCGAGGAGAGAATGTTGGAGAAAAACAAACAAGAAAGACTGGAAGAGATGTTTCCTGATCAAATGATTCACTCCTGCCCCGCCCCCCCCCCCCGCCCTGTAATGTGGTGGCTAGAATTCGATTTGAGCTACAGATGCTGCACCTGACATGGAAGAAGAAAAACTTCTTTAACGCTCTGATGAAGGCAGACCCTGACAAACAGCGAGCGAACTGTACAGACAGGATTTTCCAGATCCAATGGAAGCAGAGCAAACCAGACCCACTGAGGAACTGGATGAGGCTAATGACTTATTGAAGCAACATACCAGGGTGGTAAAGAAGGCCCCTCTAGATCTCCTTTCATTTCCTCACCTTTTCATAAAAAGCAAAAGGTGGGAATGTTAGGATTCAGGCATTATGCTCACCTGGCAGGACGCACTCAGGCAGTGCTTTGGCCAACCCAGGGTCTTAGGCCTGTTCTGTTACTACTCAGTACATAGTCTGTGCGCATACTCGCTAAACCCACCTCTAAAAGCCAAGCTTTCCCCTCCCTCCCTCCCCCCCCCCTTCCACAAGGCCACTCTGCATTCCCCTTCTCTCCCTTGGCTTCCTTCCCCCAATAAAACTTTCCGAGTGAGCAAGATCTGCTTGGTGGTCTGCATGGCATGTCTACCTCTCACCGGCCAAGATCCCTCTCGCGCCACCATATCATAACACGCAGTTACCCGAATTTTCTCTTGGCACAATGAAAGCCAGCTAGCAGGGAGGAAGCTGCCATCTTAGCTGCATTGCACAGGCAGAGCTTGTGTGCCCTTAGCAATATGGTGTTTCTCTCTAGTTCTGGTGGGCGACCGACAGTGGTGTCAACAGCTGTATTGGTTTTTGGGTTTTGGTTTTGTTTTTTTTTTTTTTTAATTAGTTTACAAAGCAGTTGATTCTTTATGGCTTTTTCATACATTCTGAATCTTGGTTAATCCTCTCCCCACTTCCTCCCCTCTCCCAGTCTCCTGCCCCCTCCCCACCAGCTGTTTTTCCATTATCCTATTCATTTAAATTTGATCCCAGGGTCTAACATAACAAGTTAGGCCCTTTTTGTTATTTATCATTTCCTTTGGAATGCCATTAAATATCTTTATTAGTAAGAGAACACTCCCTCACAGCTGACACCTGTCCTCCTGTCTCAACTGTGACAATCAGTAAAATCTGAGGGGAGTCTTGAGCCTACAGTAAGGAAGAACATTCACTGAAATGTAAACTAATTTCTTAAATTTATTTTTAACTTATGTACAAAATCATGATAGTACACATGTACTGTTTGACATATTTAATGCTCTAAGTAATATTTCAACCAGACTGAACATACTTATTTCTCAGCCTGTCTTTATGGTGAATACTTTGATAAACACTTCTAGCTTTTTGGAATGTGGAGCGCATTGTTTGTGAGCTATTATACACAGGAAGAAAGTGTAACTGTTGGAGGGACTTCAGACAGAGGGTCTCTGCCCTCCCCTTCAACTTCAAAAATTAAAGTCAAAAATCTGTATTTTCACAATTCTTCAAAACCAAAAAGCAGGGTTTTTTTTAATTAAGTAAAATTATTTTTATTACCATCTACTTAGATGCTTGATATTGTCCATTTCTCCCTACTCCTCATCCCCCATGCCATACACCCTGAATCCCCACCGTTGTGGGACGGTGTTCTTAGTTCACTACTTGGCTGGAGACTCTGGCCAAACCCAACATGTTTTTCTTGCTCTGTAGTCTCCTTGGCCCCTGTTCTAGAATGTGTTTTCCAAACAGCAACATCTCCTTATATCTACAGCCTTCTAAGACCTTGTGTTTTGTTTTTGTTTGTTTGGTTTTTTTTTTCTTTTTCTCCTTTGCTTTTCAATCTTAAGCACAATGCATCCTTGTAGGCGTGGGAGGCTTTTAGAATTTCTGCACATCCGAGCTCCGTTACAGGAATTCTGATTCAGTGGATCAAGAGTGGGGTATGTTTGGCTAAACAACCTATGATTTTAGCATTTGCGTTTTCTTTAAAACCTTCCCTCACCAAGTTTGTTTTGTAATTCGGGAAAAGGAGGAGAATGGATGCTGGTCAGACCACTAGCTTCTGTTCGACAGTTACACTTGGATTTTATTTTTCTTGACTGTGGTGGCGGGGCGGCGGGGGTTGGGGTTTGTTGCATGTGTCTCACGTGTACCCCAGAGCAGATGTGAAGATAAGAGGATAGCTTGTGAGAGCTGGTTTTCTCCTTACCCCACATGGGTCCCGGGGATTTAACTCACATGGTCAGGCTTGCCTTTATCCAGGGACCTACCTCACTGGATCTTAGACCTGTACTTTAAAGTAGTGAGGAAAATGTGGAGCCCTGAACTGGACACACATACACAGTAAAAAGGTTGGCACGTGGAACATAAATCTAATTAATTTTATCAATAAAAATTAGGAGTCAGCGGGCTGGGTTGATGGCTGAGTGGTTGAAAGCACTGACTGCTCTTCCAGATGACCTGGGTTCAATTCCACATGGTGGTTCACAACTGTCTGCAGCCCTGGTTCAATGGGACAGGACACCTATCACAAAACACCAATGCACATTTAAAAAAAAGGAGTCAGATATAGATAGGGGGAATGGGTATAAACCTGAAAGATCAGAGGAGCAACCGTCAGTTGCATCCTACCTCTTCAGTTCCTCCATCCAAAAAAGCTGAGACCCTCTCTCTGCCCCACCTCATCACTTCCTGTTTCCTCTCTGTATAGTCCTCCAGACCTCTATAGTGATATTTTAGATATTTTATTTATGTTTTATAAATAAAATTTGCCTGAAGACCAGAAGGTAAAACCAAATCACTAGAGACCAGACAGTGGTGTCACACACCTTTAATCCCAGGATTTGGGACAGAGGGAGGTGGATCTCTGTGAGTTCAAGGTCACCCTGGGCTACACAAGATCAATGCAGAAACAGATCCAGGTGGTGGTGGCTCACACCTTTAATCCCAGTACTAGGGAGTCACACGCCTTTAATCCCAGTACTAGAGAAGAATATAAGGCAATATGAAACAAGAATTCATTCTCTTTTAGCCTAAGGATCTCTTAAAAGTGAGAGCTCTCTAGTGACTTGACTGCTTTGCTTTTCTGATCTTTAGGTTGAACCTCAATAAGGTTAACTAGTGGCTACCTCTGCCCTCTGACTCCAAGCAAGCTTTATTTGTTAGAACACAAACAAAATATCATACACTTTCCCCCTTTTGTCTAAATAAAAAGTGAAGGTTTTAGTTAACATAGTAAGACTATATACAATATGTATAATAACTACATATAAATATATACAGGTAATAATAATATTAATGATGTCTAGTCCATTTGCATTTGACAAATTCAGAGAAAATCTTCCATTATCTATCCTATCTTGGTGAGTTCAAAGTGTTGTACCTAATTCACTTTCTATCCTAACTTGTATTACCAACCTAAAACCATCTTTTTATGCCTCCCAACCTTATACACTTTACACCTCTGTTGTGAGTCTCTTTTCTGAATTTGTTAACAAGGAAAACTATAACTATCTAATCTTCACCTCCATCAAAGATCTGAGAAGGATATAATATTACTTGAGTAAGTAGGAAGTGCAGAGCAAACTACTTCCAAGACTAAGAAATTACAGAAACAGCTGGCTGTCTGGACAGTACCCAAGGTTTCTCTGTAACATTGGGGCATCCATCTTCAGCCTACAGGCCTAGAATATCTGACAAACTTTTCTGAGAAGCAGGAAATTCTGAAGGGCTATCCCTCATTGTCTTGGAAAAGTTCAACAACAGTCATTGTGTGTGTGTGTGTGTGTGTGTGTGTGTGTGTGTGTGTGTGTGTGCCCTGCTTGCTCAATTAGGATGCATACTGTTAACAGTTGAGGCAAGGGCAGTTTCTTTCTTGCCCGGTGGCTTACTTTTCAACAAAGAAAGTATTCTCCATATGGAATTTCTTTGATGCCCATCATCTTCTCTGAAGTAGATTGGTGCTTCCTGGAGCAGACATGTCACATTGTCATTAAAAAAACAAAACAAAACCCTAAAAACCTTAAAACATCTTAAATGCCATATTCTATAGATCTCTGAAGTGTTTGAAGACTGCCTGTCTATCTAAAATAATCTGTTTGACCTTGAAAACATACCTCACATGACTACAAGTTTGATTGTGATAGGTGATTAACTACAAACCTGCATTTTTAATCATTCTGAAAAGTTTGTAATAATAACTTTCAGGACTAGAAATTTATATTACATTGTTAAATAATCTGTATAGGTGCAATACCTTTGGACAAGAGTAGAAATATATGTACAATATGTTCTAACTAAAATAACTTTAGATTTGTATCAATGTACAAAAATCTTAAATGAGAGTAGAAACATATGTTAAATATAACAAAAATAACCTCAACTTTGTATCAATATATAAAAATCCATACCAATATAAACTATTTAAGACCGGTAGTTGCTTTTTTAGTTTAAAAGTAGATTTAATAATCTACCCTTTTATCCTATCACTCCTATCTCTCTTTTTTCTTTTCAGAATAAGATCCTTGAATCTAATCTCCTTTGTTCAGCTTTTTTTCTTGACCATTACCAATAACAACTTGTAACCAATCCCCCTAAACAATGACAAATATCCATAACCCACTGAATGACCAAAAACTGCCCACCCCACCTCTTGGGAATGTGGATGTCATATTCTTAAAATTACTTACTATTGTCTGGGGGTGATGACATCTTTAGGGATCCTAAAAAAATTGGGGTGATTGTCCAGTCCTGAGAGAGATAGTTGTACCATTTGTTGTCCAGTCTCTGTGGAATAGGAAAGTACAGGGCTTATCTCAAGTCCTGGCTAGAGTAGTCTGTGAGGCTGGACCATCTCAGCTAGCCACCTTGAAATTGTCCTAAGAAGTTTGTAGTCCAAAGCTGATCTTTGGGTGGTGTTTGTCTGCTTAGTGCTTTACCACAATGCAGGTGAAATCGTTAAAGGACCACAATTTGTTAAGTTCATGCAAAGTACCAAAACTTAATTCCTACTTACCTGATAGAGACTCAAGCCTGAAGTCATGTACAGGAAACTAAATGAAGCCTTTTTCTATAATTAGTACTCTATACAACCATTAATATCATGACAATAAGAAACATTCATTAGTTGTTTAAATTAGTTTAGATTGAATGGTTGACGAACTATCTCCTCTTCTGATCAAGAGTTCTTACTTATTCTGGTTTCTCCTGAAATTTTTGTTTTATCTTCTAAAACTATTCTATCATCCAGAGCAGGATGGTTTTTTACAATAGGCATGAGGTCCTTTAATTGCTCTGGGGGGCAGTTTCCCCCACTGTGACAGAATGATAGAACCAGATCTGACACTGGGACCTGTGACAGGCCCTCCCAAGGTGTTTCCTGATAGGTGGAGAAATCAGGCGCTTAAAAGAAATCTCACACTGGCTCAAAATTGAGAGATAGACTTATTTATTTAGGGGGAAAACTTACAAAACCAGGATTCTTTGCTTGAATGGCGGATGGAGATGGGATCCCAAACAATCTGATCTAGCCAAGCGGGCACCAGGGGGATGAGAGAGAGAGAGAGACAGTCAGACAGACAACGCTTCCGCATCTGGGTCTATAGTTTATAAGGCCACACCCCAGTAGGCAGGTAGTTACTAGCTATAAACCTTACTGCAGCAGTTTCCTTTACACGGGAGTCTATGGGAGGCCTTCCCAAGGTGTTTCCCTATGGCAAAGGGTTACCCTGTCTGCCTCTTGTTGATCTGCATTCATTGGTCCAATGTTGACCTTTGCCACACCTTCTGCATACTCCAGAAGGGAGGGGCCTTCTGTTTGGGTTATTCCTACAAAAAACTATGAAAGCCCTGCCTACAGTTCCCTTTTAGGTGACCTTGTTTGCCACAATTAAAACACCTGACATTTTTTTGTCTCTTCAAGCCTCTGGAAACACCTCTCTTATCCAAGCATCATCATAGGCATGAGATTCAATACTGATTGTATCTTGGATCCATTCCTCTATGGGTGCTGATCTTGCCTTTAAAGGACTAATTATCCTTTTGCACTGTGAATTAGAATTTTTAAAAGCCACAGATTCAATTGTTATTTGCCTAGCCTCTGAATTTGGTATCATTCTATTTCTTAAGTCAATCTTTGTTTAAAAAAAAAAATCAGTGATAGTTTCTTTCAGGCCCTGTATAACTTTAGTAAATGACTCAGTTCTCTTTCTATTTCTGTCCCAAGCATTCAAAACTGTTGCATGGCATAGAGTCAAGGTGTGGTCATCATACAGAGACTATCTTTGTACATCAGCATAATCACCCCCTCCAAGAAGTTGGTCTTGGGAGGTTTCCATATCTCTAGCCCTACTTTATTATTCAGTGGTCCTAGCCTCATCTTTCCTCCAGGTCCTCCACTGCAATTGAGGCCCAGGCTCCAATACTGCTGTAACCAAGTCTTTCCAGTCTTGCGAGACAAATCTGTTCTAGTTGACCATGAATTTAACATCTGCTTTACAAAAGGTGAATGCATACCATGAGACTATGCCTTCCTTAAATCTCCTCAAATCTAACATTTCCATTGGAATACAGTCAGCATTAACACAGACTTGGGGACACCTGCCATGTGGCAATGATTCGTGTACGGTGACTGGACAAATTAATTTTGATTGTTTGGTAACCTTGGGCTGTTCCTCTCTAATTTTATAATGTAATGCTGAAGTCGATTCTCCTTTAAATTCCTCTGTCTTTCATCTGAATATCTCTTAAGGCTTATAACTTATCAGTCAAAATGACATTATTTTCTCTAGTAACTTTTTCTAAGGCCTATGTCTTGTCACTCACATCAACCAACTTGAGACTCATTTCAACCAACTTTTTTGGGGATAAAACAAGAATTATCAAACTGATAATGTTTATAATTGACATTACATAAATTCATCTAAGTTAATTATCCTCTCATTTAACTATTCCATTTTAAACCATCCATTATGTAATCATACAGAGTCTTAACTCCCTTCTTCATAATAGTTTTTTCCATTTTTTAACACAGGAAAAAACTCTCTCTCTTTTTTTTTTAACTAATTCTCTCCTTTTCAGAATTTCCCATTGTCCCACCAAATCTGTCGACAATGACAATGGAGCATGAGACTGGCTGCTGCTGCTTAGCACATCTGGGTAGAGAACACAAGCAGCGCACAGCTGCATGGGCTAGTGCGTTGCTATGAACTAAGAATGTGTGGTGGTTGCAACAACAGTAGAAGCTGCGAGGGTGTCAAGGCAGCTACCTAGTGGGGCAGCAGCCTGAGGAGGAGCTCCAGGGGGAGTCCACAATGGGGTGGGGGGGCTGGGATCATGGAGAAGAAACACGTGGCTGGAGTTGCCTGAAGGCAGAGCTGGTCCATCTAGGGTGGCTCAGTCTGATGGTGTTTGGAGCCCAGGTGTCTCTGGAGTTTGGGGCCTGTGGAGTTTGGGTGGTAGCTGGAGAGACTGTTGTAGAGAGGCTGCAACAGAAAAAACCCAAACTTGCTCAGAGGACTTGGGGAAGAAAGGGAAAAGCCAGCTGGAAGTAGGGCAGTGACTCTGGGGTGTGCAGCTCCTGCCAGTGCTGGTGGCTGCAAAGTCACTGGCAAGTGGCTATTTTGTAAATTTATGCCCCCAAAGCTAGGTGACAGATGAAGCATAAATCTAATTAACTTTATCAATAAAAAACAGGAGTCAGATATTGGGGGGTAAAAACTTGAAAGATCAGAGAAGCAGAAGAACAGCCGCCAGTTGATTCCTACCTCTTCAGTTCCTCTCTCTGCCCCGCCTTATCACTTCCTGTTTCCTCTCTGTCCTCCAAACCTCTATGGTTTCTGACTCCAAGCAATCTTTATTTGTCAGAACAAAAACAAAATATCACACAACAGGCATGTTTATTAAAAAGTGACCAAGGAAGGACCTCTCAAGAGGAGGGGTATTAACTTAAAGGAAAAGAATGATAAATTCTACTGTAGCTATTTTAAAATTAGTAACATACTTATCAAGATCCCATTCAGAAAGGAAAAGTAAGCTGGGGAGTGGAAATTATATGTATACCAAATATAACTGTATCTAGAATGTGATTTTAAAACTTATTACAAGGCGGGTGGAGGTGCATAATCCTAGCACTCAGGAGGCAGAGGCAGGCAGATCTCTGAGTTTGAGGTCAGACTAGTCTACAGAGTGAATTCTAGGACAGCAAGGGCTACACAGAGAAACCCTGTCTCCAAACAAACAAAGAACAGCAAATGTATTATTAGACATCATAACACACACTTTAATTGCAGCACTCAAGAGGCAAGTGAACTTCTGAGTTCAAAGCTAGCCTGGCCTACATAGGCCAGTCAATGACTATATAGTAAGACCCTGTCAAAAAAAAAAAAAACATAGAAACTAACCCAAAACCCATGCCACATAGATTGGTTGGAGAAAGAGATCACTTCAAGATGAACTTTTAAGGCCTATGCAGCAGCTGGAAAGCACTATAGTATAATGCTCTTGTACACTGTTAAGATTTTGACACTTATGTTAGTTTAATAAAATGCCAATAGCCAGGCAGGAAATACAGACTAGGAGAATACTGGGAAGGGGAAAGACAAAAAGTCAGTCTGCCAGATACAGAGAAAGCAAGATGAGAATGCCTCACTGAAAGAAAGTACTAAGCCATGTGACTAAATACAGACAAGAATTATGGGTAAATTTGAGTTGTAAGAGCTAGTTAATAATAAGCCTGAGCTAATGGGCCTTACAGTTTATAATTAATATAAGCCTCTGTATGTTTCTTTGGGATTGAATGACTGCTGGACCAGGTGGGACAAAAACTTCCCTCTATAGGAAGGTCCAGCCTCTTCAGATGGACTGAACCCCAAACAGCCTTACAAAGGCATATTTATTGAAAATTACACAAAGTATTCCCTCATACAAATGTCCCTAATCTTAATTTACATGTCTTACTGAAGAAGAGCATCACAAGCCTTCATGACTCTAGTCCATTATTATGTACCGTGTGCAATACACAGTAACACACAAGTCCCTTCTGCAAAACAATAGCTGCTTTCCACAAGGATTCTTCAAAGTCAAAGTACTTCTAAAAAGCAGTTGTTTGTTTTAATATCTACCTCAGACAGTGATTCTACTAAATTCCTACAATGATGAATATTCATGAATTATAGAAATCTGCTTTCAGAGGACCATTTTCAAAAATTCATTAGCTTTAAAGAACATAAAATTGTTATGCCTAGATCATGGAGTTCCCCAAAAACTGACTAGGAGACCAAGTCTTGTATGCAAAAGCAAAGAGCCTTTATTCTTATTCTAGCTCAAACTCTGACTCTCCATGTGTCCAACACCATTGCCATGTTCAGAGAGCCCCAAACTCATTTGAGTCTCAGTAATTTACCTGGTTCCAAGAAAGACCACAAACTAAGACCACCTAGGTTCCATCCATGACCAGACCATCCAAAGGAAATTCCTAACAGTCCAACCATTGTAGATAGACTCACCTGCCAGCACACACCCATAGCTTTTCACCAGGACACCCCTAGACAAATATCAGCCAACCAGGAATTCTGAACCTTAGAAATCCCTCAACCCAACCTTTGCTATTATAAAAACCTCACCCCAACTGAGCTGGGGGGCTCTTTGAACGTGCTAATGCATTGGAGACATGGAGAGTCAGAGTTCAAACTAGAATAAGAATAAAGGCTCTTTGTTTTACATACAAGGCTTGGTCTCCTAGTTGGTTTTCCAGGTGGAGGGAGTCTCTATGATTTGGACATAGAAAAAAACAAAAACCTTACAAAATGTCAGTCAACTGAGAACATTCTTATGCCTTCATGTTGGTTTTTTCCATTCCCATTCCCACTTCTGTCCTGGCTACCTGAAGTTACTAACAAAGAACATGAAGCTCAAAAGCCAATGGGGAAGTCAAAAAAGAAAAATTCTGTAGGGATTTGGGATTTGCCCTGAGTCCTTCCTATCCATGGCTTAAAGTCCAATAAAGTTCAAGAGGAGTAGTGCCTGCTTGTCATTCTAGCACTTGGAGGTGGGACAGGAAAAATTCAAGGTTCAAGTTCATTAAAAAAAAAAAAAAAGCAATGCTCAGATTTGTACCTATAGTGGATCCACGAGGGAAAGCATCCAATTACTAAAATGAGGCTGGTTCCAGTGTTTGAGTTGATCTTCACTGGACATATAATTCTAAGCTGATAGATATTCACATCAACATCATCAACATGTAAAGGGACTTTGCTTAGTATTATGACTCCCACAATTGCTGCCCAGACATTGGCAATCAAACTATTCCTTCCACAAATGTAAACATTTTGCCTCGCTGCCCTCAATATTTTCTGCAAGCCTTTGGTTTGTTGCCCTGCAGCGTTTCTATGTGTGGTTTCCTTCTTAAGTGTTCCAGAGATTCACTTGTCTCTTTGCATTTGTGAGTTGATGCCTAGAACTGGGGAGCTTTCACAAGGCATGTCTCATTAAAACGCTGCTTCTGCCTCATTCTCTTGATAGCTTGAAAAGACAGTCCAGCGTGTTAGACGCTTCCACTCCACCTGCCATTTAATTCGTCCATTTGTTTTTCTCCTTGTGCTTCATCCTAAACGGTATCCCGAATTATCCATAATTCATTCTTAAGCCTTACAGTTAAAAGCGTTTGTTTCCGTGTATGTGCGTGAGTGCCCGCATCCAGTGTATGCACCAGAGAGAACGTTGGGAGCCCTGCTCCATCCTTTTCTCCTTTACTCCTTGAGACAGGGTCTCTCACAGGACCTGACCCTCCGGTCGCCAGCCTGCAAGCCCCAGAGATCCTCCTGTCTCCGTCCTTCACGACACTGGGGTAAAAGGCATCAATGCAGTGACCTCCAGATTTTTACATTGGCGTGGGGATCTGAACTCAGTTCCTTATGGTTACCCACCGAGCTTTCCTCTGGCCTCTTGTCAGTTTCTCTGTCTCTTAAAAATCTCATTGATGTGCATGTGTGTGTGCCTGAGTGTATGTATGTGCACCACATGTGTACAGGAGCCTATGGAGTTCAGAAGGGCAGTCTGATGCCCTGCAACTAAAGTTACAGTTGACTGTGAGCTTGGTTTCTTGGACTCAAACCCTGGTTCTCTGGGATAGCAGCCAGTGCTTCTAACCACTTCTTCCAGCCCCATCAGTTTTTTTGTTTGTTTTTAAACTCAGGTCACTCATTTCTATGGTTAGAATTTCTAATTAATTCTTTTTAACTCTGCTGGACATTTATTTGCTTATCTATGGGGGTGGGGTACTAGGGGTCAAACCCAGGTCTTCATATATGCAAGGTAAGAACTCTAGCACTGAACCATACCCTTTCTCCCCTGTGGGGGTGGAACTGTGTGGGGTTAATACTTTATTGTTAGCCCTTTGCTAAAATAACCAAACTTAGCTGGGTGTAGTGGCATATAACTTCAAATCCCAACATTGGAAGCAGGCAGGCTGGAGGCAGAGGCAGGTAGACCTTTGACTTCCAGGCCAGCCTGGTCTACAGAGTGAGTTTCAGGACTGCCAGGGTGACAGAGAAACCTTGTCTTGAAAAACAAAACAAACAGACAATAAAATAAATATAAAATTTCCAAGCTTCACTTTAAACTACCTGAACTCGACATGAATAGTTGCTTTACTGCCTAATTCTGTAATTGTTGAGGGCTCATTTCTGTAGTCTTTTTTTTCTTGTGTATGGTGTTTTAATTGTTTTGTGCACTTGATTACTTTCCCCTATGTTCTGACAATTGTATTTTTAATTATTTGTGAAAGTAACTGGAAGTCTACAACGATAGTCTCTTTCTCCAAAGACACTTTGTCTTCTGTTAAGCAAATGTTGGGGATGGTAACAACAATCCAGCTGCATGACTGGTCTATCCGATTCTCCCTCCTTTCCTGTACATGCGCCTCTAATGCCAACTCAAGGTGGATGGGCACTTACCCTGGCTGCTGTGGGCTCTAGCTGATAACTTTTGTTCCCTGAATCCCAAAAGCCAAAAGCACTGATTGGAATTAATAAACATTCTCTCTCTCTCTCTCTCTCTCTCTCTCTCTCTCTCTCTCTCTTTCTCTCTCTCTCTCTCTGCCTCTCTCTCTGTTCTTCTCCCTTCTCCCCTTCCTCTCTTTCTCTTTCCCCTCCATAACCCACTAAATAAATATCCATCCTCACTCTGCATGGCGTGCCTAATAGGTCTCTGTCTCTCACCCACCATGCAGCTTCCTGCCTGGGCCCAGCTGCCTTCGTGGCCCACTGCGGTCTTGTGCCAGCTGCCCATGGCCACCACTCGGGGAACATTACCATAACAACGAACATGGTGACTGTAATGGGCTAGACTAGGTTTTGTTCCAGTGACAAATAATCCCCACACTTCTTGCTTTGCTCACGGGTGCCACTCATCACCCTCTAGACACATCTCTTCCTTCTCACCACCTGGTCTCTATAGTTGCCATGGCAGGGGGAAAAGAGAGGCT